TTGCCCGACCGGGAATCGAACTCGGGGCCACGTCATGGAAAGCGAGCACGCAGGTAGTGGTAAATCTGTTAAATTAAGTCGTAACGATTCATATTATGGCTGAACGTAATTCACAACATTTCACTCCTTTAGATGATTGAAAACTCACGAAATCACTTTTTTTAGTAATTTTCCGAAACACTCTAGTACAATCTAGCTCTAAACAATACAAATAGATTCTTGTCGAACTGGAATCGAATGAATCGTTGATCATTTCTATATGTAGGTGGCCCAACCTTCCTTCTCCAAACCGCGTTTTATATTCGTAAATTGCATTAGAGCGGTCGGGAAATATGCAGGGGAAAATTGTCGATCAATAGTCCGAGGCGAGTCGTCAATGGATCTTCAATTGCCTCAAATGGTGGACCAGAAGAACCGTGACTGACAGACTCATGACCACGCTTACGTTTCCCGATAACTGTAAGAGTTCATGACAATCAGGTCGATGTCTGGTGCTTTTTTACGCGCTACTGAAATTTAATGTCAAATGCTATATTTACATGAACTTATACTCGGAGTATTTACTGCAACACTTCATTCCGATGTGTTCCAGATTTGTTGACGAAGGTTCATATTTAATTCATATTTTTCTTCTAACTGTAACTATTCTGGGTCAGGTTAACTCCTTCAAAAGCAGTTGATTTTGCAAATTAACTTGATATTGTCAACATATCAATTAAATTGCTGTACTGATTGAGATCGCAAATACATTTGATGATTTGATGATGTTGTTATGAAAACTAACATTGAAGTAATAATCAGAATGTCCTAAAAATGCTGAAAATGAGTGATATGGATTTAATAAAAATGCGTGAAAAATAACAATAAAATTGTATAATAGTATGTAATGTAACTACAGTTTATAATGTTAAGTTTTACTACGCGAGTACATGTTTTGAAAACCAGTGACGTTCGGAGCGAGTTTTCAATTTGTACGAATGCAATAAAGTAACATTTAAACGAGTTACATACATACACATGTTATTTGTAATAGCATCATTAATCTATAAGAGAATCAAAGTAGTTTTTGAAAACAAATTTATTGTGACGTCAGAGATATTTGACGCCTGTGCGAAAAAAGTGCGTGGGCTGTAAGGTTAACTGCTACCACCCCATGATTCTCTGGCTGCGATTGGCTAAATGTGTGATGATGCAATTACTCGTACCATAAACGGCAAATACGTCAACATGTATGCCATAAGATGTTATTTTATCTGTGAATGGTTTGTATCAAAAAAGGTCGATTATAATAATAGAATTCAAAATAAATTTTTAAAATTTCCTCAGAGTGCGGTTTAGCCAATAGTCGCCATGAAATATACGCGAAGAAATAAAAGAACTTCTTGTGATACCACATTCTTTAATACCTTAAATGACCTGTATTTGATACTTTATTCCAGTGAATGTCTTTTAAATTCATTGGAAGCGCCTGCTATAATCATAACGGCCCTTTGTGCGAAGTTTCTCTCTTGTACCAACAAGCCCTTGTATCGTAGTGTGCTCGACCCAAAAATGAATTCCACACGTTCCGGGAATGGGGGGGGGCGGACAAAAATTCCGGTAAAGCGTACGGCGGTTAACCGCGACTTTTCATCAAAACGCGCGCCTGTCAACGCCCAAACACCACCCGGCGCCCGACAGGTTAATTGGACTAATTCAGGTTATTTTAGTCGGAACAATGAGTGGATATCAAATATTAGGGCGTAAATTAGACGCTCCCTGTTTCTCAATGCGTTTGCAATATGGAATTCTAATTATGTGTCATCTGCAGGTAAAAGAGATGCCATTTTCAATCTGGATAACTTAAATAGATTTCTCCTTTATAGCAAAATTGTATTCTGAAACGTTTAGACAGGTTTTCGTGGGACTTTTCCATCCTTTTCTACCGAAGGAAGTCATTTTTAAAAGTATGCACCCTTATTAACCGCTATTGATTGTATTAATATTATAATTAGCTTTAGCTAGCAAGCTAGATTATAATTGTAATTATAATTAGCTTGATGCATCTCAAAATTAGCTACATTTTTGACTCTTTGCTTTTTATATAAACCCATAAGTATATAAACCCATGAGTTTCATAGTAACTTACCAAAGATTCTGTACAAAACGGGGAAATCTCTTTTTTAGGGGCGATCACATTTTAGTAACCAAATTCCACTTCCCCCTGGTGTTCACTGCGAGTGAAATCCTCATCGGAACCCTGTCAGTGGTGTCTCATCGTATATAGAAGAAATATTACAGAATATTCAGCGCGTTAGAAATATTCGAGAAATTAATTGATGAATCCAATGTCAGAAAATTTATGATCTGCATCCATTATCGAAAGGTTCAAAATCTGTAGTACATAAAATGTACTTATTAAGAATGTCCAAATTAAAGAGTGAAAATTACAGACACTCGAAAGCACAAATTGATGGCATATGTCCAAAAAATCTGAGACTAGAATGCTTGAAAACACCCAGCCTATTGGCAGGCAGCCAAGATGCGTTGGCGAAATATGGTGTTTCCTCTTTACGTTCTCTTCAGTTCAGCTGGTTCTGCGCCTCGAGGAAACCGACAACGATGTTTTGGTGATGCTCTTTTCTTAATTCTTTTCTCCGCAAAGGAAACTTGGCGGACGCTCGCGGAACGAATGAGGGCGGTCGGGATCCAACTTTGATGGAAAACTTCCAAGAAAGCGTTCCAAGCGATGGGAAGTTAAAAGACTGTGGAAAGAAAAGCCCACGTTAAAGCAAGGAAACACGAGTTTGATTTTGAAGTTGATAGTTTTCGGTTGGGACATGCGATCAGAATATACGCAAGAAAATACGCTGTAAGAAATGACCGCTCTGAAACAATGGAATGATTACGTACTCGGTCAGAAAATGCAAATTGCACTAATTCAGAAGATTGCTCTTGATGAGTAGTTTAAGGTGTAGTTATGACATACAGTCTCAGGAAGCGTTTTTGTCATGTCTGTGTGTAAATTATGATTCGCCCATGAAGTTATATCTGTGTAAGAATACTAGACGATGAGGTAGAAAATGAATACTAGCTTTATAAATTGTATTTTGATACATCCAGTCTAAGTTTTTCATACATAAGAGGTATACAGAGCTAACGAACAATCAATGAATTTCAACTGCAAATAACAGATTAGTTAGTACGGAATTTCGTTTCATTCTTCTGTTTTCAAACAATTAACTCACTTATAGCTGATTTTTACCTGCGCTAGGGTCACAAATTGTACCGTGATCTATCAATGCACTCGACAATACTGCCAATTCCACGAACTATTACCCAATTGCTTGACTAATCAGCTTGTTCGGTATTGATTGATTTTCACTTGCACCTTATCAGGTTAGCTGGTGAATAACAGCCGTTAAACTCATTAATGATATGTGTGAATTATCACATGATCCGTTCATATTAGTCCGCAATTAGCTTTGTTCTTTTCCTTTATTAAACAAATCACGAGTGGTTGCAGTGGAATGTGCCCAATTCTTTCCAGTGAATGGACTAGAGCGGAAGAAAATTTCCGCCCGAAAGTAAGTGTTTAAATGCAATGTGATGGCAAAACGCCCTCGCCTGCTGGACGGAGGTCGAGCGAATCAACGCCACGGACCAACGCGAGCCGCGACCAACGAATAGTACCAAGAAGTCACGACCTTTAATGACGTAATTCAATTAGATCTTAAGTTTCGAGAGTTCTCCCTGAATGCAAATGGGTTACAACATCAAAATTCAATTATTCCGTTATTGAAGTATTAAAAGTCATCTCATAATAAATTTTGTCGTGCTGATACATTTTGTTGTCTTCATACCCAATAAATCGTTTGTTAAATAGGTTGCAAAAGAAAGAGTATTGTCTGGAGAAGAGTACATTTATCTACAACTTCACATTATAAACATCAGTATTTGTAAACGAACGGTGACCAAATATCAAGCGGAAATTCAATCGTAGCTCAATGGCGAAGGCGCTTGGCTTTCACCATTGACGTTCCGGGTTCGATTCCCGTAGAATCCCTGTAGAACCTCATGTAAAAGTTGTTACGACAAAACGAGTTTGCATGATTCACAGGGGCTAGTCCAACCCCCTGTGAAGTGTCCTAAACCCTAACTCAATTCTTGCCGCTGGCACAGGGGCGCGTGGTAGGAGGCGCGTACGCGGATATGCTACTTGGCGGTCCTCTTGACAACTGACTGCGACGAGACGTGAGGGATATACGATGATAATAATTAATGAAGGATTACTCCCGCTCTGATATTAACGGAGAAGTACTTCTAAAGCAAAAAGCGCTCAACGTCGCCCGGGCCTGGAAGACGGAACAATTGTTTTAAAACATTCCACAAAATCGCTGAACAGCCCGTTTTTGACATCTATGGTCTATATGTACACGTACGCTTCCGCAGCTCGAGTTCATCACTTTTTGACTGTCGAGGTGACACCGCTTCGTTGTCTGAGAGGCCGCCGTTTCGCCTGCCATGTCGCAGACTTCACTACCCTAAGACATGCGACATGACAGGTGAAACGACGGCCTCTCAGACAACTCCTGGACAGCCAAGAAGTCATCTATAGTTTATAGTTTGCAAACTATGCCTCCTAGGGTTATAAAAACTGGTTCTTGAATACACCGGCCTCGAGTTATGTTCCTTGTGTCGTAATCTGCAGAATGAGATATTTTGAAATCATGTGAGTACTCTTATTCTCTGGTGAGCGTGGAGCGCATAGTTTCTCTGTTTAAGGGACATGTAGTATTTTCAGTTCTGTTATAAAACGTTTTGGTCTCGTGTCTGCCCTTCATATGGCTGGAGAAGTGGGAAAGTTCACGCAAGTTTGCAATTGATCACATTGATCTCATTCGTGTAATTGTTTCTGCGAGTCAGAATCTAACGTTTCAAAACAAAGCATCGGATGAAGCGGGTAGAAGGGAAAAGTGAGAGGCAAATGAAACGTGATTTGTAATGTGCCCCCCGCGCAGGAAGATCCCGCCCTTCAGCTGGGTGGCGGCCGGGCTGTCGTTGTGCTTCCCGGCGCTGCGTTCGGGTGACGGGCGCTGCTTGCGCTACGCCACCGGCGACTCCAGCTCCACCGTCACCGAGACGCTCACGCAGCAGTCCTCACGCCGCTCCACCTCGCTGCGCCACACCATGCAGGTACGCCCCGCCAACGCAGAGCGCACCCCCGCCTGCCTCGCTGCGTCCACCACAACCGTCTCCTTACTCCCAACTGTTTCCCCAATCGCGGCCCAACCTCAGCACAACCCTCAGCACAACCCCTAGCACATCCTCCAGGCACAACTTCCAGGCACAACCTCAGCACACCCCTCAGCACAACCCCCAACACAACTGTCTCCTTACTCCCAACTGTCTCCCCAATCGCGGCCCAACCTCAGAACAACCCTCAGCACAACCCCTAGCACAACCTCCAGGAACAACTTCCAGGCACAACCTCAGCACACCCCTTAGCCCAACCCTCAGCACAACTCCAGCACAACTGTCTAGCAACTTCCAACTCTCTCCCCACTCCCGTCCCAATCTCAGCACAACACCCGACGTAACCCCCAGCACAACCTCCAGGCACAACCTCAGCACAACTGTCTCCCTACTCCTAACTCTCTCCCCAATCCCGGCCCAACCTCAGCATACCCCGCAGAACAACTCCAGGCACACCCTCAGCACAACCCCCAGCACAACCGCCTCCTTACTCCTGTCTCCCCAATCTCGGCCCAACCTCAACACACCCCTCTGCACAACCCCTAGCACAAGCCCCAACACAACGCCTAGCACAATACCCAGAACAACACCCAGAACAACTCTCAGCATAACAACCACAACAATTCTCGGCACAATCCCATAACAACCCTTAGACAACAACTCCCAGACCAACTCATAGCACAATCCTCAAAATAACCTTCATCACATCCCCTGCACAACCCCCAACAGAACTCTTAGAACAACACCCAGAACAATTCTCAGCACTGACACCAGCACAATCCAGAAGAATCCTCAGAACAACTCCTAGCCCAACCCAAAGCACAATCCCCAGAATTTAGAACAACCCTCAGCATAACCCCCAGGCACAATCCTCAACACAACACTGAGCACACCCGTCAGCACTAACCACAGCACAAACCTCAGCCCAAACCCAGCCCAACCCCCAGCCGCACATTCTGCTCAAAACTCAGCCGAAACCATTTATACCCCCAGCCCTCCGTTGAACCCACAATCCAAACAATAAAGTAATCCACAGCCCGACTCCCAGCCTAATGTTCATCCCAAACCCGAGCTCAACCTCCAACTAAACATTCAGCCAAATCACAACTCAACTCACCCCTACCCCAAAACCTCTCCTCAACCTAACTCCCTACACTGCTGGTATTTTCGCTCATCCCACAACTCAGCTTTGTGTTGAGCACAAAGCTTGCCAACCGGTGCCAACTAGTGGCTCATCACCTCGCTCAGCTCTTCGCCCAGATCTCACTTCCACTCCCAAATAATCACTGTTTCCAGCTCAGTTCCCACCAGAACTATTATTATTTTTAAGTGTGTTAGGTTAAAGATTTAAGAAAGACTAATAAAAAGAACTTAATTTGTACACCTAGTAATAAACAAAATGTTGATAAGAAACGTAACAACATTCTTCGGCTAGCTGAACTTGGTGGTTTGCCTAGTCGCCTTCCTACTTCTCCTTCCTTCATTTCTCCCGGAAGTGAATCGCAGAACCCGATTGAAAATTATAATTTCTGTATGGCCATTTCCTTGCTCTTCACAAGAATACGTCAATCGACAGATAATCTGTGTGGTTCCTATTCCTTACCAATTGCGTATTTTTTGTAGTGGTATATTCGAACAAATTAAAACTCTGCTCTTATGTTTCTCTCAATTCAACACTGTTTAAAATAATCTAGAAACGTCTTGTTTTCGCGTAAGTGTAGTAAAACTCAGATACTTTGCAAATAATCAACTGTGCTTTATGCACCAATAGCAAACCAAAATACATATGAAGCCGATTAAAAGTGGAAATTAATTGAAAAATAAATCATAAGAACATATCTCGATATTCAAACAACATACACGTGCAATCATTCAGAATTGTCATTAGTAATCAAACATACAACTATAAATCTTCTTTGCAGAGTTTAAAAATTTAAAATGTTTATCGACCAATATTTATAATATTTTCAACCAGTGTTAGTAGAAACAACATTGGGATTTCAAAACGAAATAAGTATACAATGTTAAATGACATAATCCCGTTAATAAATGTAAAATCAAGTCCACAGTTACGAATATCGTGTTGCCTAACGGCTGTGGTAGCTCAGGGAATTAACTTATGTTACTGCTCTACCTCTGACCGTGCCAGACAGTAGATGGATATTCAACACAAGCTAAAAGATAGATCGAATTCAGCTGCTGCCTGGAGGAGATTTCTAGCGACCGGCTGCTCTAATCGACAGTTTTCCATAATTTACTTATTTAAGGCCAGGCGAATTCCGTTGTAAAACACTCACAATCAAGCCATGGTCAGCGCGCGATCTTTCCTTTCTTTCCCTTGTCCTATTCTCACTCCTTATACACACTCACTACACTACCATTAATTGCGAAAGACCAGGACCGTGAGAGCTTAGAGCTTCTCACGGCCGGAGAGTGCCACGCTTGCGAAAGATACCTGAGTGAGAGAAACCTGAGTGAGGCTTGTTTTGTTTCGCGCCTATCTCGAAAGTATTAGTGCGATTGGAATATACTTTGCACCAATCAATTTCTCGTAAGCGGTTCTACCTATACACGGAATTTACAGAAAAAGCGTTGAAATTAAGATTTTTCCCAATTGTCACGTAATGGGGGGGTACGTTGTACTTTTCGTCCTAAGGCTGGTTATGTTTCGCCTCTTCCGAAAGTAATTAGTGCGAATGGAATATATTTGCACAATCAATTTTCGTAACCTGTTCTACTATTCACGAAATTACAGAAACAAGCGTTGAAATTCAGATTTTTCCAAATTTGTCACGTAATGGGCGGTACGTTGTACTTTCGACCCAAGGCCTTGTTTTTCTTTCGCGCCTATCTCCGAAAGTATTAGTGCAATTGGAAATTTACTTTGCACATTTAATTTTTGTAACCTGTTCTACCTATACACGGAATTACAGAAAGAAGCGTTGAATTTTAAGATTTTTCCTAATTTGTCACGTAATGGGGGGGGGGTACGTTGTACTTTTTCGTCCTAGGGCCTGGTTATTGTTTCGCGCCTACCTGGAAAGTATTATTGCGATTGGAATATACTTTGACAATAATTTTCGTACGTGTTCTACTTATACAGGAATTACGAGAACAAGCGTTGAAATTAAGATTTTTCCCATTTGTACGTAATGGGGGGGTACGTTGTACTTTTCGTCCTCAGGCTGGTTATGTTTCGCGCCTATCTCCGAAAGTATTAGTGCGAATGGAATATACTTTGAACAATAATTTCTCGTAACCTGTTCTACCTATTCCGAAATTACAGAAACAGCGTTGAATTCAGATTATTTTCCAAATTTGTACGTAATGGGGCGGTAGTTGTACTTTTCCGACCAAGGCCTTGTTTTTCTTTCGCGCCTATCTTCGAAAGTATTAGTGAATTGAATTTACTTTGCACCATTTAATTTCTCGTACCTGTTCTACCTATACACGGAATTACAGAAAGAAGCGTTGAATTAAGTATT